CTTTGGAGAATGGTGCTGGGGAGGCGGGGTCAGGGCCAGCCTGTGCCATGGGGTTAACCATGCACGTCCCTCCCAGGCACTGGGGGGGGCTGGCACTCTGCCAGGCTGGGAGCCTTTGGGGGTCTCTACTCCCCACAGAAGGGGGCTGAGCACTTAGTCCCTCGCTGCCCCTCGCCTGGGGGGGGCTCTGTCCCTTGTTGCTTTGGAGAATGGTGCTGGGGAGGCGGGGTCAGGGCCAGCCTGTGCCATGGGGTTAACCATGCACGTCCCTCCCAGGCACTGGGGGGGGCTGGCACTCTGCCAGGCTGGGAGCCTTTGGGGGTCTCTACTCCCCACAGAAGGGGGCTGAGCACTTAGTCCCTCGCTGCCCCTCGCCTGGGGGGGGCTCTGTCCCTTGTTGCCTATTAACTCTTTGCAATAGATGTAAATATTTCTTCTAATAAAGAGACCATGAGAGGAGCCTTTCTGTGTGTGCTGCTGTGGGGGATGGGTGGGCGGGAATGGGGAAAAACACTCGTGAGCGTGGGGGCCTTCACAGAGTGATACATGCTGGTGCTCTCATGCAGCCAGGCCTAAAACATCCTTGGACTTTCTAAACATTCCTGCCCCAAAAAAGTGCTGCAGTCAACATGGGTCAATTCTATGTTAGACCTTGTCCTCCCTGATAGAGAGGAACGGATCACAGAACTAAAAGTTAAATGGTAGCTTAGGTAGCGGTGATTATAACTTTTCACATTTATAATGTGCAAAGAGGAAAAACACCAGACCCATAATCTATATTCCTGGTGCTCTAATAGGGCCAGTTTCACAAAGCTGAAAACAAGCATGAGCCAAACACTTGTGAGGAAGAATTTGATCAGAAAAGAAGTGAATGATAAAATAGGACTCTTAAGAACATCTTCCTCAATGTCCTTTCTCCTCCTCCTCCCCCCCCCACAAACAAGGAAAAGGGCTGTGCTGATTAAAAAAGTCACCTGGGCTAGAGAGGAATATAGGCAATTGTATAAAGTTCAAAAACAAAACCAACAGAAAATCCCGACAACAAAATGTAACAGATGGAAGAAAAGGGAAAGCTATTAACAGTTTAATATGAATTTGAAGGCAGTAACTGTAGAAAATTGATAAGGGAAGCCAAGGGCTGCAAGGAGAGATCAATGGACAGGAAGGTGTTTTTTAAATAAATGGGGGTGGGTGGGGTGGAAATGAATGTTTACAATGATATTGGTACATTAGTATATGAAAATGGCAGAATTCTTAATACAAAAAATGCCATTTTCAATTAGTATTTCTGTTCTATGTTGCGGGGCGGGGGGGGGGGGGACATAATGCAGTCTTGATTGGTGGATGATAAAACTCTTTCCGTTCCACTAGTTACCCTGGAGGATGCTGTTCAGATGCTATTAGAGTTTGGTATTTTAAAATCAGCAGGTCTAGATAACTTGCAACTAGGAGCTTTAAAAGAGCTGGCTGAGGTGCCTGCTGGACCGTTAACGTTGATTTTCAGTATTTGAGAGGAGTGGGACAGAAGACTAGAAGATCGCTCATGTGCCAGTTTTTGAAAAGGGCAACTGAGTTGACCAGTCAGGATGTCAGTCACAGCCAAGGCACTGGAGTGACGGCCACGGTAATTAAAGAACTACATGAGGATTCTGTCATTAATGCAGCTCAACCAGCGTTTATGGCCAAACAGCTTGTCAGACTCATGCTGTGGTGGTGAAGGGAAGTGTGTTGGCCTAGCAGACACCCGTAAAGTATCTGACTTGTCCATGTCATGCTGATTCCAATAAGACCAGACTAAATGGAACATGGCCTGTGAAATGGGCTAACTGCCCAGTAAATGGCGCCTTGGGGCGGCTCCCAGGGACAAGGGAGGGGCAGCAGCCCTCTTGCCCTCGCTCAGGGCTGTACCAGCTGACCAGTAATGCCAGGCCGGGTCAGCCCCAGGAGCCGGGTGAGGCTGAGGGAGCCGCAGCCGGAGGAGACGTGGGGTTAGAGGCCAGAAAGCTGCAGTTTCTCACAGAAAACTTAAGACTAGAGGGGGGGAGTGGCTAAAAAAGCCCAGCCCTGTGGCTCTGAGGCACGAGTGGCGGGTCGCCCTGCCCCACTGGCCCCCCTCCAGCCCAGGGTCCCTCCTGTCCTTGGGGTGCAGCGACCCGGAGCCCCACAGCGACCCCCACTGCTCCAGCCCAGGACAAATGTTTAACCGGACGTTCAAAGTCAATATTTGTTGAAAGAAATAAAGGGCGGTAGCGAAGGTCGTGCCTGCACTGCCCGGCAGGCGTGGGCTGGACACGTCTGCACCGCCCCATGCAGAGCCGTCGGCTGGGCTAGAGAGGGGCCGCACCCGCAGCGATGCTTCGCAAACGGAGGTAGGGGCAGAGTTGCTGGGGGCCAGGGCTGCTCCAGGGCTCTGTGTAGGGGGGGGCTGAGAGCCAGGGGGGTCAGGCCTGCAGTGGAGTCT